TCGACGCCTGTCAGCGCCTTCCTGCATTCGTTCATCTGCTTCGCCACGGCGTTCGCCTGCATGACCGTCTCGAGCAAGTTCTTGCCACTCTTGCTGAAGGTGCTGGACCACTTCTGGGTGCTGTGGTACTTGACCCATGCCTCCCAGCCACCCTTTGTCTTCGGCCTCTTGTCACAGCCCGCCCTGTAGTCGCCATGGCGCTCGCATATCGCGCGAGCCTCGATGAACAATCCCTCGAGAACATCATCAGCTGGGGCCTCCTCCGCACTCTTCGCGCGCTTGGTGTCCGCCGCCGCTGCCTTCGCCTTCGCCTTCGGCTTGCGCTTCTTGCCGCCTGCCTCTTCGCCGCCAGGCGCCTGCATCTTGTGCAGCGAGCCCTTGCCCAGCGCAGCACCCTTCGTGGCAGTGGCCGCCGCGGACTTGCCCTTGCCTTTCTTGGCCTTGCCACACTTGGCCGTGCGCCTGCCCTTGTCCGTTGAGCCCGCCTTGGGGAACGGGATCGGGGGCGACGCGATCCACCTGTCACCGTCAAGCCACGTGAAACACGTGTTGCCGTCAATCTCGAACTTGTCAGTCGACCGTTTGCCGTCCTCGGTGCGGATGCAGAAGCCCCCTTTCACAACATATTCCACGTGCTCTTCGGGAGGATCCAGCTCGCGAGGCTCCTCCTCCTCGCCTTCCTCGTCACAGGACGCCACGGGAATGACGTCCTGGATGGGGTGGGGGGGGGGCCCTCCTGCTCCCGCTCACCCGCCTAACCTGGGGTGTCCCATGATCTTGCATAACGAATTCGCGCGGGCAGCTGCCCGCCCGAATTCGTTATGCACGACCTTTTTGGGCGAGTCCAGCCTTTTGCCTGGCATCTCCCGCATCTCCCTATCCTTGATCCGCATCCTCCTCTCCCTCCTCATCCCTGGCCCTCATCATGTCCATCATCCTTCTCATTCCTCCTCCTCTTCCTTCTCAATGCTCGCCTCCACCGTTCGCCCCCATCCTCCTCCATCCTCCCTTCTCGTCGTCCCGTCTCCTCCTCCCCCTTCCTCCTCCTCCCCCTCCTCCTCCTCCTCCTCCTCCCCCTCCGCATTCGCATCCTCTCCTCATCCATCCTCACCTCTTCCTCCTCCTCCTCGTCATCCTTGTCATCCTAAGCCCAATCGTATACCCCGCATCCTGGTATTCCCCTCGTCTCCTGCGCGGTCGTCCCCTTGCCAGACGGCGACGGCGCAGTGCCTTTGCCTGACTGCACAGATGTGGCGCCCTTGCCCTTGCTCTTGCCCGTGTGCGTGCCGCCACCTCGGACGACGAGATGCGATGAGGAGGAGGAGGAGGAGGAGGAGGAGGAGGAGGCGGAGGCGGAGGAGGAGCAGTAGGAGGAGGAGGAGGAGGAGGAGGAGGAGGAGGAGGAGGAGGAGGGTGATGAGTTGGAGGACGATCGGGCGAGGAGAAGAGCGACGAAGTGGAGATGGGCGGGGAAGCAGATCAGCATGAGGATGAGGAGGGCGAGGAGGACGAGAAATCTGAGGGTGAGGACGGCGCTGGGCACAATCATGAGGAGAGCGAGGGGACTGAGGATGAGGATACGGATGGCGAGGTTGATGCAGACTGAGGAATGATGATGCTGATGATGAGGATTAGGAGAGGAGGACGACGATGAGGGGAGCGAGGATGATGATGATGAGGAGGAGGATGATAAGGATGAGGAGGCTACGGAGAGCGAGGTTGTTAATGGTGAGGATGAGGAGGATAAGGAGGAGGATGAGGAGGAAGATGCTGATGATGATGACGAGGAGGTGGATGAGGAAGAGGATGAGGATGCTGAGAGCGAGGGTAAAGAGGATGAGGAGGGCGAGGATGAGGATAACGAGGAGAATGCTGATGAGGGTGAGGAGGATGGGGGTGACGAAGGCGGGGAGGATGCGGATGAGGAGGGCGAGGCGATTGGCGAGCCTGTCGCACTTACGTCCGACTCAAGGCTGTCGTCCGAGATCTCGTCGTCGTCGAACATGGCGCGCATGAAGTATGAACGGGCTGGGGCGTCAGAACTCTCGCCAGCACGCTCACCTCCGTTTGAGTGCATGAGCTGCACCAGCTGCGGCGGGATGGTGTAGTTGTTACTGGGTGTGTTTTGCATTCCCCCCACCCCCCTCCAAGTACTCGTACTCCTACTCGTACTCCTAGCCCCACTCCTACTCATGATCAGGCTACTCGTCCTCGTACCCCTAGTCCTACTCGTACGCATACTCGCATTCCTACTCGTACTCCTACTCGTACCCCGCCCCCCAGCCACCCCCTCCCCCTACTCGTACTCCTACTCTTATTCCTAACCCTACTCGTATTCCTACTCGTGCTTCTACTCGTATTCCTACTCGTACTCCTACTCGTACGCCTGCTCGTACTCCTACGCTACTGGTACACCTCCTCCCCGCTACCCCATCCCCCTAATCGTACTCCTATTCGTATTCCGAACCCTCCTCGTACTCCTCCTACTCATATTCCTACGCCTCCTCCTCCACCTCCTCCTTCTCCTCCTCCTCCGCATCCTCCTCCTCCTACCCCTCATCCTACTCCTCCTCCTCCTCCTCCTCCTCCTCCTCCTCCTCCTCATCCTAGTTTGACCCATGGGCTCCTGATGACCCGCCTCCACCCAGCTACCAGATCCAGGATCTTCTTGGCCTCCTCCATGCATTTCTGATGGGAGAACTTTGCCCCGATCACCTGCAGCACAGCACTCTCCCAGTCCGTCAGATCGATACGCAAGTTGGGACTGGCCGACTCACACAGCTTCAATGCTTTCCACCAGCCACTCGCTAAGATGTACTCTGGGAGGCCCTTGCACCTTTTCTTGCCGCCCGTGTTCCAACTGCAGAGGGTGCCGCTGTCGAGCGCGGCGGGCGGCAGCACATGCAGCGCGCGAGTTAGAACAGACTGCACCTCCGTGCTCATGGAGCGTGCGAGTTAGCACGGCGGGCGACTGCACCTCCGTGCACCTCCTTGAACCTGAACTCTGCTGTCGTCGTCGTCCTCCCTGGCCTTCAGCTCGTCTGAGCCCGACTGGCCGATCAACTCGTCGTCGTCGTCGTTCTCGTCGTCCCCAAGACGACCCCCAAGAAGACCCTCCACCGTCGGCGCCCCAGCTGGGACCCCTATGGCCTGCCGCCCAATCCCGAGATCCAAGAGGACCCCCCAGACCCCAAAACCCCAAGAGAACCCCCGAGACCCGCGAGGAACCCAAGACCCCAGGATGAACCCCGAGACCCCAAGACCCCAAGAGTACACCAAGACCCCAAGACTAGAACGAACCATGAGGGACACGACTATGATGTGGAACGGAAGATGAGGAATGATGATGTAGATTATGGGTGTAAGATGATATATGGGTGAGTTAGAAGTTGTTTAGGTTTTGAAAATGATCAACGATCGCGTGATCGCATGCACAAGCGCATGTGTCGCCGAAGTTGCACAACGCATGAGCAAGACGAAGAAGACAAACCAAGCGAAAGCAGACAAAACAAGACAAAGCAGACAAAACAAGACAAAGCAGACAAAATCAGACACGAAAACACCTTCCATACCTTCCGCGCGGAAGGTATGGAAGGTGGAGACTCAGGGATATCTCTCTATATATATATATATATGTAAAATATGGGGGATTTGGCTATTTGTGTCTATTGATTTGTCGAGTATGGTGATTCTGACCCGCCGCTGACGGCAACACCACTTCGCTCTCCCTCCGGGACTTCGCTTCCGGCTCCTGTCCAAGGCGTACCTTTTCCTGTGCAAGCTCTTCGGCACCGCCTGCACCCCGCACCCTCCGGCCGCCTGAGGCCCCGCCCGCCCGCGCCCTGTCTCCCCAATTCGTTTTTTGCGCGCCCCGCCTAGCTCTCAACCGGAAGAGGCCCGCTCTCGACCCGCAGACCAAAAAGTGTATTTATTTGTGCGCGTGTGTGTGTGTGTCCCAGTTCCCTTTCAAAGCGCCAGCGTCCCAGACCCTCGCCCCGCGGAGTGGAGCGCGGCACGGTGCCCGCCTGCCGGGCGTGGCCCGTCGCCGTGGTCGCTGCCGCGGCACGCCGGCGAGCTCCCCCTCCTCCTCCTCCTCCTCCTCCTCCTCCTCCTCCTCCTCCTCCTCCTCCTCCTCCTCTGCTTCCTCCTCCTCCTCCTCCTCCTCCTCCTCTTCTCCTCCTCCTCCTCCTCCTCCTCCTCCTCCTCCTCCTCCCCCTCCTCCTCCTCATCCTCCTCCGACCGCAGATGGCCCGGGCGCAGCGGGCACGGCTGTGCAGGACAACCCCGTGCTGGCACCCTTCTTCCCCTTGAATGATTTGTCGGGGTGTCTCCATCAGGGCCCCAGGGCCTTGTCGAGGTTCTTGGGAGCGGCAGGCCCGCGTGCTGTTGCTGCCGCTTGCCCCTTCGGCTTGCCGAACGTCCTCCTTGCCCCTTCGGCCCATCCCTGGCCCGTTCGGCAAAACGTCAACATTGCCTTCGAAGGCCGTTCTCGCATCTTTACTGTGAACCCTTACAGCAAGGATGCGCGATAAGGATGCAAGGGCCTTGGAAGGCTATTTTGGAGCTTTCCGAGCGGGGCGCGGCCAGCGAAAGTGGCCAAGGATGGACCGAGGAGGCAAGGACGCAAGGGTACCCCTGGGACAGATGCCCATCCTTGCCATGCGGGTTAACTCTACCTCGCATCCTGATTACGGTAAGTTCGTGTCGTGTCGACCAGCGGCGACCCCGCCAGCGGCGTTCAATGTTGAACGCCGCGGGCGACCCAGACTCGTTCTGTGTGGAACGATTTGGACGTTTGGGTAACGGCCGATCCTTCAAGGTTGAGCGATCCCCGCGGTGTCCGAAACCAATGCCGAAGACGACACGACGCGAACCTGTCGTATGCGTTTTGACTGAGAGCCCTGGTCCATCCTGGAGAGGGACTCGTGCTCTTGCCCTGCGCTCCTGCGGCCACGGCTCGACGCTGGGGCTCGGCTCCGCGCCCCCGCGCCGCCCCCGAGGAGAGGAATAGCGCCGCCCGCGAGCGGGCGAGGGCACAGCGAACGGCGGCGAGGACCGACCAGAAGGGCGCCTTCTCGCCGACGACAGCGACTGCGGCGACGACGACGACGGCGATGACGACGACGCCGACCACGACCACGACCACGACGACGACGCCGACGCCAACGCCAACGCCAGTGCCAACGCCGATGCCGACGCCGACGCCGACCTCGACCTCGACCTCGACCTCGACCTTGAGGACGACGACGACAACGGCGCCGCCGCCGACGACGACGACGACGACGACGAAGACGACCACGACCACGATGACGACGACGACGACGTCGTCGACGACGACGACGACGACTGTGCCGACGACGAGGACGGCCTCTTGGGCCATCTTGAGGTCACGTCGGTCACTCTTGAAGCGCTCTTGTGCTGTCTTGGGGGTCTCTGGGACGTCTCCGATGACCCTCCTGATCGCCTTAGGTGTGCTGGGAAGGCTTGGCAAAGCGCCCTGCGAGAATCTGGGGGCCGCTTCGAGGCCCGTCCGGAGGGTCACACAACCCCAGATCCCGGGAGTCCGGTTTTGGGAGGGGGGGTGTCCCCCCGCCTGGGCTTGTAAAAATATAGGAAGAGGAACATATGTATACATCTACCTGTAGAGACAGGGCAGGATTGAGTGAAAAAGCGACGAGAGGAGGAGGAGGAGGAGGAGGAGGAGGAGGAGGAGGAACGGCAAGAGGGAGAGGTTCGGGACGAGGAGAGGGTGGAGGGAAGAACGAAACGGGGAGTGTCTCTCGCTCTTCCCGGTCACCGCTCTAGGGTCAGAGCAGGGTTCGAGCTAAAGTGTGTGTTGGCGATTTCGTGCACCGCTTCCGCTTTTTTCATGCTGTTTGCAGCAAAGGTGGACCGGAGACAGAACGAGGGGAAACCGACCACAGCACGCACAACGGAGCACATTGGTTTGACCGAGCCCTGGACCAGAGGCACGGGGCATGCGCAAGAGGGTAACAAGAGAAGCAACGGCGAGGATGGGGGAGGAGGCCGAGGAGGGAGGGCGAGGAGGGAGGGAGGACATGGACGAGGAGGGAGGAGGCGGGAGGAGGAAGAGGAGGAGGAGAAAGGAGGAGGAGGAGGAGGAGGAGGAGGAGGAGGAGGAGGGATGGAAGAGCGGGCAGAGGAGCAGGCTGCAGCGGAGGGGGGGGCGGGGGAGGAGGGCGCAGGAGCTGGGCGACGAGGGCCGAGGACGGCGACACAGCGAGGAGTAGCAGCAGGAGGGCCTTCCTCCCCGACCGCGGCCCGTCCCCCCCCCCCCCTCCTCCTCCTTCTCCTCCTCCTCCTCCCCCTCCTCCTCCCCCCGACGGTGCGAGGAGCGGCGTCCAGCGGCAGCGCGCGCAGAGCGCGCAGTCGCAGAAGGCGCGGTCGCGGGAGCTGCTGGCGCAGAGGCGGGAGGAGGACGCGGCCCTGAGAGAGGCCCTCCTGCCGCCTCTGTGTCTCGCTGTCGCGCTCCTCCTGCCCCCTCCTGCATGTTGCTTCGCAACTGTTCTGATTCCTGATTCCTGCCCCCTTCGTTCCGCCTCCTGGCACCTCCCTCGCCTTCCGCGCGCACTTCGAGGCGCGCTCCCCCGGCTGCCTCTTCCCCAATATACAGGATGGGAGCAGGCGGTTTCTAGTCGACAAGGATTTTGCGATCCGCTCACATCTGCGTCCCACCCACCACATCCCTTGGCCGAAGGCCGCTGGGAGGTTCAGTGATTACATGGTCTTCTCAGCTGGGAATGCCGGGATGGCCTCTGGGTGCGGGTACGCGGCGACCGAGCACGCGGGTTCGCATGTTCAGGGGGAGCGAGCACGCGGGTTCGCATGTTCAGGGGGATGCGGTTACAGGCCTCAAGGGAACACCGCCAGAGCAAGGTGACCGCGGGCTGTACTGCGTGCAGTGCGCACAGTGTGCTCAGTTGCAGCCGCGTGGACTGGCACAGACGTGCCCGCCCCAGCGCCCAGGGATTGTCTTTATGTCGGGCGTGTCCCCTACAGGGGGATTTTCGACAAAAAATAAAACATACCCCAAAAATACCCCAAGAAGGTCAAAGCATACTCAAAAAATAGTTCCCGACTATATTTGGATTATTGCTTGATTATTTTCGTTTTTTTGTCCGTCGAAAATCCCCCTGTAGGGGGACAGGCCCGACTTGAGATTGTCTGTGACAAGATGGGAAGAGAGCGGCGGGGCCGCCTCGAGCGCGGCCTCCCTCCCCGCGCTGGGAATGAAGGCGGTGGTCTCGGAGAGCTGGGCTCTCCGAGGTGTGGGGGTCTCCTCGCGAGGGCGAGAGCGGTGCCTATATAGTGCACCGCTGCAGATGGTTGGCTCGGCGTTCGCAGGCGGGGCACAGAACCCCTCGTTCTCCCTCCCTCTCGCAGTCCCTCCTGAATTTCCTCCTCCTCCTCCTCCTCCTCCTCCCTCCTCCTCCTCCTCCTCCACCTCCTCCTCTTCCTCCTCCTCCTCCTCCTCCTCCGCTTGCCTCTTCCATGGCTGATGTCCTCCTCCACCTCCTCATCTTCGTCCCTCCTCCTCCTTCTCCTTCCTTTCTTTCCCTCCTCCTTCCCCTCCGCGGCCGCCGTCACAGATGCGCCCCCGAGCGCCCAGGATCGAGATTTCTGCAGGCTCGGCAATACGTTTTGGCCCCTCTCGGGCTTCTCGGGCCTCCCTCCCCTCCTTCTCCGTCTTCCCCTTCTCCTCTTCCTCCTCCTGCCGCCCCACCTCCCTGCCTCAGTCCTCCCTGCTCGTTCTTCGTTCCTGTTTCCTGGTTCCTCCATCCTCCTGGTTCCTGGCTCCTCTATCCCTCATCCTCCCTCCTCGTCCTCCTACTCGGGCGGGCCGCGCATCTGGCCGGCTGCGCTCTGCGCCTGAGGTCGGCGCCTTCCCTCGCCATCCAGGAGCGACCGGCTGTTGCTGACGAGGGTTATGCTGTTCCAACATACTGTAGCTTTGACCACTGGGAAGAATGTCGAGCACCAGGAAAGTACCGAAACTGGATGATTTTCACCCGTAAGGCCCTGGGGGGCGATGCTCGTTCGACACTGTTTCGATACTTCTCTGGAAGCTCGGGATTATTTCTGGGATGTGGTTCCTAAGGACGATGTGAACAACATACGAGGGCCGCTCCTGGGGGGAGAGGGTGCGCCAACTGGGGCGTGTAAACTCCGATACTCTAGGCCTCCTACAAGGGGTCGGAGTAGATGGGGTCGGAGGATCGCGCCGCATCGCCGAAGCATCGGCGATGCGGCTCGACGCGGAGCCCGATTTTCTCCATGTCGACGTCGCCAATTCATCGCCGACGTCGCCGATGCATCGCCGGTGCGTCACCGATGCATCGCCGACGCATTGCCGATGTATCGGCGATGCGGCGCGATCCTCCGACCCCATCTGCTCGGACCCGATCTAGGAGGCCTCTAACCTGGGAGCGCGGCCGACACCGAGTGTACCCAGCAGCCGCGCTTCCTGGGGCCCGGGCCAGCTGCTCGCAGAACGGGAAGGCCTCTGCGCAGCTGACTGCATGCGAACGCCAGCGTACGTGATGCAGAAGCGTGGGAGCACATGTAGCAATTCGGTCTTGGACGAGCCCGCGCGCCTGGGACGTTTGATTTCCACTCAGCCGGAGGTCAGCTCCCCCGCCAGCGCGCCAGGCGTCCAACTCCGCGCCGGGCCCCCCACTGGCTCCTCGGCTTCCCTCGCTTCTCCTGCTGGAGGGAAAAAAACCCACAGACACAATGAATCGTCGACCCCCAGGAAAAAATCGAAAATATGGGAAATGTGGGGTGGGGGGACGAAAATCAAGAAAATATTGAAAAATAATGGGAATCCTTGAATTTGTTTATATATATATATATATACACACTCACACACACACATATATATATATATATATACCGGAGAAAAACCCAAATCCGATTTTTGTTAGGGCTATAGGGCTATTGGGCTATTGTGCTATAGGGCTATACGGCTAGGGCTATGGGGCTATAGAGCCATATGGGCTATGGGGCTATAGGGATATAAGGCTATTAGGGCTATAGGGATATAAGGCTATAGGGCTACAGGGCTATAGGGCTATACGGCTATAGGGCTATAGGGCTACTGGGCTATTGGGCACCCCCGGGCACCCGGGCACCCCCGGGCACCCGGGCACCCCCGGGCACCCGGGCACCCCCGGGCACCCGGGCATCCCCGGGCACCCGGGCACCCCCGGGCACCCGGGCACACCCGGGCACCCGGGCACCCGGGCCCGGCCACCGAAATCGGCCACCCGGGCACTCCCGGGCACCCGGGCCGGCCCCGGCCACCGAAATCGGCCGCCGACCTCACCTCAGCCTTATATCCGCTAGGACCCCTACAGAAGCAAGCTCTGATTGGGGAATATAAGTATATATATACATTTCATGTATATACATGCATGTGTATATATATACATTTATACAAGGCTGCAGTGGCGTTTCGCGCCATGCACCTTCGTCCTTGAAGTTTGGTATGTAGGCGGAATAGCAGGAAGGTCAAGCCGACAATTTAGCGATAACTCCCTGTTGCCTTTTCTGGCATCGCCGCTATAATAATGTTCTTCGTTATCCTTCCTCCATGCTTCTTTTTCATTATGTTCGCCATGCCCTGCGCATTCTCCCCATCCTGCTCAGCTCTTTTTTTCGGAGGCTCCTCCTTGGAGAGCCTCTAGGAGCCTCACAAAAGCTGTTTCAGGCTTTCTTAAGGCCTTCTGGAGACCTCCTGGGCGTATTCTGGGGGGCTCCAGGGGCCTCCTCGGGCCACCCTGCCTCCAACCGCGGTCTCCCTGAACGACCGAATCACGATTTGGAATTCTTCGGAGGGTGTCTTTGGGCCATCTTTGGCCGCCATCGGGCTCTCTGAGTGCCATCTTGGATCCGTGTTGTGCCGTTTTGGGGCTCTCTTGGACTGCCTGGAAGCCCTTTCGGATGGTTGTGGGGCGATTGGGGAGCCTCCCAGGCGGCTTCGGACGCCCAGAAGACCGCCGTCTTGGAGCGTCGGGAAGCCGAAAAGAGGAGAACCCCAAAATCCACCAAAAACCCGCAGGAAATCAATGTTTTTTTCCTCGGGGGGGCTTCTTGGGAGTGCTCTTGGATGCCTCTTTGGGGCCGTCCTGAAGGCCTCTTGGGCCATCTTGAGGTCACGTCGGTCACTCTTGGAGCGCTCTTGTGCTGTCTTGGGGGTCTCTGGGACGTCTCCGATGACCCCCCTGATCGCCCTAGGTGTGCTGGGAAGGCTTGGCAAACCGCCATGTGAGGCCTGGTGGCCGCTTCGAGGCCCGTCTGGAGGGTTCCAAAGCCCCAGATCCCGGGAGTCCGGTGTTTTTTTGGGGGGGAGGGGTTTATATAGGAAGAAGGAAGAGGAAGAAGGAAGAGGAAGAGGAGGAACATATATATATATATATATATATATACACATTTATACAAGACTGCAGTGGCGCTTCGCGCCATGCACCTTGGTCCTTGAAGTTTGGTATGCAGGCGGAATGGCAGGAAGGTCGAGCCGACAATTTAGCGATATCACCTGGTTGCCTTTTCTGGCATCGCCGCTATAATGATGTTCTTCGTTATCCTTCCTCCATGCTTATTGTTCCTTATTTTCGCCATACCCTGCGCATTCTCCTCATCCTCCTCGGCTCTTTTTTGTGGAGGCTTCTCCTTGGAGAGCCTCTAGGGGCCTCACAAAAGTTGTTTCGGGCTTTGTTAAGGCCCTCTGGAGGCCTCCTAGGCGTATTCTGGGGGCCTCTGGGGGCTTCCTCGGACCACCCTGCCTCCAACCGCCGTCTCCATGAACGACCGAATCACGATTTGGAATTCTTCGGAAGGTGTCTTTGGGCCATCTTTGGCCGCCATGGAGCTCTCTGAGTGTCGTCTTGGACCCGTGTTGTGCCGTTTTGGGGCTCTTTTGGACTGCCTGGAAGCCCTTTCGGATGGTTGTGGGGCGATTTTGGGAGCCTCCCAGGCGGCTTCGGACGCCCAGAAGACCGCCGCCTTGGAGCGTCGGGAAGCCGAAAAGAGGAGAACCCCAAAATCCACCAAAAACCCGCAGGAAATCAATGTTTTTTTCCTCGGGGGGGCTTCTTGGGAGTGCTCTCGGATGCCTCTTTGGGGCCGTCCTGAAGGCCTCTTGGGCCATCTTGAGGTCACGTCGGTCACTCTTGGAGCGCTCTTGTGCTGTCTTAGGGGACTCTGGGACGTCTCCGATGGCCCCCCTGATCGCCCTAGGTGTGCTGGGAAGGCTTGACAAAACGCCTTGCGAGGCCCCGTGGCCGCTTCGAGGCCCGTCCGGAGGGCCCCAAAGCCCCAGGTCCCGGGAGTCCGGTTTGGGGGGGGGGATGGGTTTCCCTTCCCCGGGCTTATAAAAATATAGGAAGAGGAATATGTGTGTATGTGTGTGTGCTTGTCCTTGGGTAGCTTGACTCCTGCCAGCGCACCGGCAGCCCGCCCGCCCGCGCCCGGCCCCCCACTGGCTCCTCGGCAGCCCCGCCGCCTCCTCGGCAGTGCGCGCCGCCCCGACCCGGGCGCTCAGCTCGTCGTCGTCCCCGGCGCCCGCCTGGGCCGGCTGGGGGCAGTGGCGGCGCCGCCTCCTCCAACGCTCGCCATGGGGGAGAAGATGGGTCATGAGGGCAACGGGTCCTGAGGTTCGAAGAAGAATAAGACCGAACCGCAGAAACATCAACTTTTGGCGCTCCGCGCGGATTTCTCGGATCCGCGCCTGGGCTCCCCAGCGGCGCCTCCGGCGCCGCCCCTGGCGCGCTCCGCGCGCCAGGGGAGATTTTTTTGTTTATCCACACAAGGGATGATCACGCACGTTATCCCCCCCCTCTCCACACACCCCTGTAGCGGTGACGCCCTGGCCGCGATCCAGTGCGCGATCCCGGGCAGCCTAGGGTCTGTTATGCACGCAGGTGTGCACTATGGTGCACGCAAGCAGTGCGGTGTGCATGGGCGTTCTGGCGCGCGCATCGGTCGGTGCAAAGGGTGTACGCAAGCATTGTGGTGCACAGGTGCAGTGGTGTACGCAATCGCTGTAGTGCGCAAGGTCGCTACGATGTAAGCGTGCGTTGTGGGCTATAATGGGCCCACGCATATCTTGGCACTTATTCCTCCTCTTCCCTCGTCATTTCTATGCACACAAGCGTTGTGCTCCTCGGGCCAGACAACACCAATAATCACAATCAGATCAGAATGTTCGATATGATACAGTCGGGCCCCAAGCAATTTCCCGGACATTGGCTCCGTCAGGACCGTGGAGGTGTACGCAATTTTTGTGGTACACGCAGGCAGTGTGGTGCACGCGGAGGGGTGCTGAATCAGCAGCTGTGGTGTCAATAATGTCAATAATCACAGGCGTTGCGGTGCAGACGGCTGTTGTGGTGTACATCGGCACTGTTGTGTGTATGAAGGTGTTCTCCTGAAGACAAGTATTATTACTGCCTTCGTGGCTCCCAGATTGGGGGCTGGCGGGACTTTCCTGCTGCTTCTCCTGGTGCGCCTCCTGCTGCGCCTCCTGCTGCTTTCCTGCCCCTCCTCAGCTTATCCTCGTGCTGCTCCTGCTCCTGCTGCTGCTGCTGCTGCTGCTGCTGCTGCTGCTGCTCCTGCTGCTCCTCCTGCTCCTCCTGCCTCTCCTGCTGTTCCGCCTGCTGCCTTCGAGGTCCCTGGGAGGGGTCCTGGACGGCCCCAACAGGGCTCCAAGAGGGCTCCCGAAAGAATCGCAAAGTATGAGCACGAGCATCCCTCTTTCAGGGGCCCTTCTTGGAGCCATCTTGGAGCCCGGACCATCCCGAGGGCCTCCCGGACCCTTCCAAGGGGCTTGGCAAGGGTCCAAGACTGCACCGCGAGAGCTCCAAGAGGACCCCCGAAACAGGCACACGCTCGTGCATACACTTCGTGGTGCCTCATTTGCAGTGCAGTTTCTGGCGCCTCAAATCCTAACATAATTTTTAGGGATTGTTCGGAGGCTCGGATGTTCGAGCGCGGCGGTCTCGTACACGGATTCCTGCGACGAGCTTCTTGTGCTCCTCCTGCTCCTCCTGCTGGTGTTGCTCTCATGCGTGTATTCCCGTGGCTGACGCCGCTCCGCGCGCCCCCAAGCCGCGCGCTGTTCCCGGGCGCCATGAAGCGCGCAGTTGCTACGATGTGCAGAGTCGCTATGGCGTACGCAGGCAATGTGGGCCCAACATATCCCAGCGTTCTCGGGGCCAGAACAGCAAATAACCACAACCAACTCAGATATTGAATTTGATAAATTCGGGGCCACGACGATTTTCTGGGCCTTGGCCCCGTCGGTATTGCCTTCAGGCGTACACGAATTTTGCGGTGTGCGCAGGCGCTGCGGCGCGCAGGGGGGGGGGGCTGAAACAGCGGCCGTGGTGCACGCGGGCGCCGTGTTGTGCACAGACCGCGCGATGTACAAAGGCGTCGTGGTGCACGCGGTTGTTATGGTGTACGCAGTCGCCGTTGTGCACACATGCGATTCCTGTCGAAGCCCTGGTGCGCACGTAGAGGCACTGTACAGAGCCCGTGCTGCGTGCGCAGGCGTTGTGGGCTTGGGCGGTGACGACGACGACGACGACGACGACGACGACCACGACGACGACGACGACGACGACGACGTAGGCGGCGCGACTCAGGGGGCGCGCGCCGCGGTCCCAGTTACCGTTACCCCCCCCCCCGCCCCCCCCCCCGGGTAACATGCGTCACCCACCAGAAATTGAAAAATAGTTTCGAGAGGGGGTCCAGCGCGAATCCAAGAAACCCACGCGGAACGCCAACAGTTTACGTCTATGTGGTTGCTTCTTCTGGAGGTCTTTTGCTGTTTTCGGGGCTTTCGGGGCCCTACGCGCGAATGTCCGAGAACGATTCAGGATGAAATTCTCGTCCTGGGGGAAGGCCCCAGGGTCCAGGACCCGTTTCCCTCGGGACGCGTTTCCCCCATGCTACAGCCGTTTCACCTTCTTCCCCCCCTCGGATGGGCAGGGCATCCCTGTCCCGCCACGGCAGGCGCGGAGGGAAGCAGGGAGGGGAGTGAGGAGTCGAGAGTTGAGGCAGGGGGAGGTAGACAGGGAGGAGGGAAGGAGCATGAGGGACGATGGGCGGGATGGAGGGAGAACGGCGGAGGAAGGATGTAGGGAGGAGGAAGCAGGGGAGAGGGACGAGGGGGTAGGAGAGAGCAGGAGGTGGGAGGAAAGGGGCAGTGAGGAAAGATGACGGAGAACAGCGAATTGAGGAAAAGGGATGAACGAGACAATGTTCCCCCAGGCGAATTTATCGCAGATCTCAACGGCCAGGCAAAGCCGCGATGACATGCGAAGGAGACTGGAAGAAGCCAACCAGGAGAGACCTTATTGCACGCTCTGCCATCTCTTCGTTTTCCCGTTCTGTCTCTGTGCCCATCCCTCTCTCTCTCTCTTGTTTGTTTTGTTATCTCTCTCTCTCTCTCGCTCCTCTCTCTCGCACGACGTGTACACGTGAGTATCATGGTTTATGGGTGTATGTAGATGAGGTTCCCCCCCTCCTTCTCTCTCTCTCTCTTTTTCTCTGTTTATCTCTCCCTCTCTCTCTCTCTCTGCATATTTCTGTCTCTATAGCCTCCTCTGTCTCTCTCGTTGTATTTTTGTCCCTGCCCCCTCGTTCCCTTGCTTTCTCTCTTTCTCTCTCTCTCTCTCTCTCTTCACTTCCCTCTCTCTCTTTTTGTCTCTCTCTCTCTCTGTCTCTCTCTTGTTCTCTCTACACCCCTGTCTCTTTCTTGCTCTCTTTCTCCTTTCTCGTTGTGTGTTGTCTCTCTCTCTCTCTCTCTATCTCTCTCTCTCTCTCTGTCTTACTCTCTCTCTCTCTGTATCTCTCTCTCTCCCTCCCTCTGCGCGCCGCACTCCATACGGAGCTCAGCATCCGTGCTAATGTCGTCCGCTCCGACGCACCCGGCACAGCCGCGCGCCCGGGCCTGAGCGCACAGTCGGTGCGATCGGTTGCCACGGCGACTCTGGCCCCGTGCGCGGCTCCGGTCCCCCGCGGCACCCGAGCAGCCTCCCACTCGATGATGTATGTGTGTGAGAGAGTGCGTGAGGGTGTGGGTGTGGGTGTCGGAGGAGGAAAAGGAAAGGTACCCCTACCTCTACCCCCTCGCCCGTTTGCCCCCTTTCTGGGCCTCCTGGGAGGCTCTCGTCGCCACCGCTGGATTCGCTTCGAAATTCTGGTCAGAACGCAGCCGGGGAGAGGTCCGGGGAGTAGCGGTATCGGTATCTTTTAGTCTCTCCAGGGTGTGGGTGTGGGGGAGGGCGTGTGTGTGTGTATGTGTGAGAGGAAGAAATCCACCTTTCCCCCTCTTCGGGCATCCGTGGGGGTGCGACAGGGATGATTCATGTGTAAAGGAAACAGCATGGAGTAGGAGGACGACGGGAAAGAGAGGAGGAGGAGGAGGAGGAGAAGGACGAGGATCAGGAGGAGCAGGAGGAGGAGGAAGAGGAGGAGGAGGAGGAGGAGGAGGGGAGGGGAAGGAGGAGAAGCAGGAGGAGGAGGAGGAGGAGGGGGAGGAGGAAGGGGCGGGAGAAAGCGATTCCCCCTGCCCCCTCTACGGCTACAGGCTTCCAGAGGTCTTGGCACGAGCCCCCGTCGAAGGGGTAGGCCCCCAGCGGCCCCCTCCTGCGTCGCAAGTCTGCTGTCCCGCGATCCCTCGATCGACCCCTCCGATCCTTCGGGGCCACCCTCGATCCTCTGCGACCCCTCGATCGGCGACGACGACGCCAACGAACCGACGAGCGGCGTGCCGCCCCCTCGCCGAGGAGAAGCTGCGGAGATACCGCGAGGAGGGCGACGCGAGGGTGGCCCAGGAAAGGGCGCTGCAGGGCCGGACGGAGCAGCTGGCGCCACGCCCAGCTCTCGGCAGAACTTGCGGGCGACCGCGCCGCGGCGCGCCGAAAGCCAGCGGAGGGAAGGTACAGATGCCGCTGCCTCGTTGTCACCGTTCTGCGCCTCCTTTGACGTCCTCGTCGCCACGGCTGGGTTCGCCTTGGAATTCCGGTCAGAAGGCACCCGAGGAGATGTCCAGGGGGTAGCGGTATCGGTACGTTTTGGCCTCGACAGGAAGAGGTCGCGCCTTTCCCTGGCACCTCCAACGCTGTGAACACATGAAAACGACTTCGAAGTTTTGTACGCGTCGGGTCTGGTCACCGTCTTCGTGCCCAGGGGTCGTAAAACGGCGCTGCAGGAGGAAACTGCGGTCGTCCTTTTGCTAGCTTGCTGCAGCTTTGTTTTCCAAGAATGCCCGCGGAGCCAAGGCGATAATCGCATTTTCAGGAGTGACTAACGTTACCCTGCGTCGCTGAAATGGTAGCCAACATTTAAGAAGGACGTGAGTGGCGCCAAGGTGAAAGCATCATCTTGGAAAGGAGTCTAAGCCGCTGCATTGTTGTTAAACGAATGTACGCAGCGCTAAGACGAGAGCCCCATTGTGGCAAGGAATTGCCCTTCCCCCGCGAAGCTGCCGACCACCTTTACGACGAAAGTGCGCGGCGCGAAGGCGATTGTTCCATTTTGCAAGCGACCTCCCCCCTTCCGCGATCCTTGAAGCTGCTGCAAACTTTCAAGCATCATATACGCGGCGCTCAAGCGAGAGCTCCATTTTGCAAACGGCCCGCTCTCCAGCCTTGGAGCGTTTGCGCACTGACAGCTTCAGGGATCTGAAATCGTGAAGAAGGCCGCCCTACCCAGACTCCTGGGGGTGCGACAGGGAGGGGCTGCTCTTTGTAAAAAGGGTTGGGGGAGGAGGCGGACTGGGAGGAATAGACAGATGAGGATGAGGGTGACCAGGAGGAGTAGGAGGAAGACGACGAGGAGGAGGATGCCTGGCAGAAGGAGTGGGAGGAGAAGGAGGATGGGAAGGCGGAGAACTGCGAGGACGAAGAGGAGGAGCAGGAGGAGGAGGATGAGGACGGATCGTCCCCTGCCTTTGCCGCCGAGGTGGCCAGCATGGAGAGGGAGGAGCTCGAGCTGATCCAAAGGCGGGCACCCGACACCCTCTGCTGACGGCGGCCACGCCCCAGACATCGGGCGGGGAGCAGTCCAGAAACCAGCTCGAGAAGGAGGAGGAGGTGGAGAGGAGGATGAGGAGGAGGAGGAGGAGGAGGAGGTGGAGGAGGAGGAGGAGGGCGATGAGGAGGACGATTGGGCGGAGAAGGAGGAGGAAAATGAGGAGATGGATGAGGATGAGGAGGAGGAGGAGGAGAAGGAGGAGGAGGGGGAGGTGGAGGAGGAGGAGGAGGAGGAGGAGGAGGAGGAGGAGGAGGAGGAGGAGGAAGAGTCAGCTCGAGGAGGAGAAGGATGAGGCAGCTCGAGGAGGAGCTGGAGCGGGGGCCGGCACCAGCCTGTAAGCAGGAGGAGGGGGCGAACGCGGCTTCCCAGGGGCAGCGAGGTCTCGCCCAGACCCTCACAATCAGGATGCTTCCCAGGGGCAGCGAGGTCTCGCCCAGACCTTCACAGGATGGGCAGCCTTCCCAAGGGTTCTGCCCGTGCATCCTTGCCCCTTCTGCTCGCCCTCTGCCACCTTCGCTGTCCGCGCCCCGCTCGCAAGGCATCGGAACGGCCTTCCAAAGCCCCTGCATCCTCCTCGTGCGTCCCTGTGATGCGTGCCGGCTGTATGACCGCGCCCGCCTTTGCAGTGTTGGTCGGGAAGGCGGACTCTCCTCCCCCTCGTACTCCTCTGTCCCTGGGGGGGCGGGGCGCGCGTGCGCAGAGGGCGCCCCCCCGGCCCCCCGATGTCCGACGATGCGGCCTTTTCATGTCGGCACTTTTCTCTTCCATCTTGGCCTCGGGGGTCTTTTGCCAGGCCCTCGGACCATCACACAATCATTATGTACATACAGCTATGTACATATCTATATGTGTATACATATATATATATATATATATAGAGATAGATAATACAAGTGCATATTTTATGATGTATATACGCGTGTACATACAAGCAAGTATCACATGTGTACACATACAAGGTATGCGCGCTACACATCCACATGTGAAGCATTCGCCCCAGGGAGAGTGTCGGGTCCGCACACTGAGCGATCGTGTCGCTGGACGTCCAGAACGGGCCTTTCCCTCGGGGGGCGAAGCAGGTGCTTGCTCTTCTTCAGCGGAAGGTCTGCGGCAGGCCGGCGGCCAGCGGGAAGTGAGACCGAGGCGTCACCGACAACGATAACAACAACGACAGCGATAACGGGAACAACGATCACAACGATTGCAAAGGTCAGCATCAGATGGTTATTAACGATCATTGTCGCAACGAGAACAGCGGCCTGCCCGATCACTGTCTCACAAAAGTCGCAACGATACCAACGACAACGCCCACATCGACGGGAGGCAAGACCGAGGCGGCAATGTTCTTTGGTCCGGGCTCCCCGGGAGTCGGCCATGCCCCCATATCCACCTGGGCGCGAATCTAGGGGGGGGGGTGATCGACTGCGGGGGGGGGGGGGGGAGGAGGAAAGGTGCCCTCCTGGTCGGGCCCGAAAGGCCCCCCCCCTTCTGGTGCCTTGAAGGGCCCCTTTGGGAGCCCCGAAGGGCGGCTTCTGTCTTTGTTGCAGCCCTCGCTGCCCCCCCAATGAATCGCCGCCCCTCCTCCTCCTCCTCCTCCTCCTCCTCCTCCTCCTCCTCCTCCTCCTCCTCCTCCTCCGCCACTTCCTCCTCCTCCTCCTCCCTCCTCCTCCATCTCCTCCCCCTCCTCCTCCTCCTCCTCCTCCTCCTCCTCCTCCTCCTCTCCTCCTCCTCCTCCTCCTCCTCCTCCTCCTCCCTTCCTCCTCCTCCTCCTCCCCTCCTCCTCGTCCTCCTCCTTCCCCCCTTCCTCCTCTCCTCCCCCCTCCTCCCCCTCCTCCTCCTCCTCCTCCTCTCCCCGTCCTCCTCCTCCGTCCTCCTCCTCCTCCTCCGCCTCCTCCTCCTTCTCTCCTCCTCCTCCTCCCACTCCTCCCTCCTCCTCCGCCCCTCCTCCGCCTCCTCCTCCTCCTCCTCCTCCTCCTCCTCCTCCTCCTCCTCCTCGTCCTCCTCCCTCGTCTCTCCTCCTCCTCCTCCTCTCTCCTCATCGCCCCTCCTCCGCCTCCCTCCTCCTCCTCCTCCTCCTCCTCCTCCTCCTCCTCCTCCTCCTCCTCTCCTCCCACCCCTCCTCCTCCTCCGCCTCATCCCCCTTCTCCGCCTCCTCCTCCTCCCCCTCCTCCGCCTCCTCCTCCTCCCTCTCCACCTCCGCGGCCTCAGGCCCTCGCCCTCTCGCGGAGCCGAGGGGCAGCCTCTTCTCTCTCTTTCTCTCCCTCGGCGGACGGGGCGGCAGAAGGGTGAGACTGCCTTTTCAACAGCTGCCCCCAGGAACCTCCAGGAAAGGACGCTTCGTGAGGGGCTTAAGGGACAACCAACCGAAATCGGCGCGTTCGAAAACCTGTATTCCGAACGGAGGGCAGGGGTGAGACTGCCGCCGGGGTCCGCCGGCGGGGTGTGATTGGCCGGAGTTGCCTTTGGTTCTAGGCTTCAGTCGGGCTTGTCCTTCTACCGGATGAATAATCAGAAATTGCCTAAAAAATAATCTGGGGATTACTTGTGCAGAATTTGTGTAGAATCCTTGCGTATGTTTGACTATGTTTAACTTTCCTCGAAAAAACGGCCTGTAGGCGGAAGGCACGACTTAATTCTAGGCCTCCTGGATGGGGTCGGAGCAGATGGGGTCGGAGGACTGCGCCGCATCCCTGATGCATCGGCGACGCGGCTCGATGCGGAGCCCGACGTTCTCCACGCCGACGTCGCCGATGCGTCGCCGACTGCCGCTGAGAAATCGCCGACGCATCTGCGTCACATCTGCGACGCATTGGACTCGCGGCGTGATTCTTCGACCCCATCTGCCTGGACCCCACCCCAGAGGCCTCTGATTTCTCGCCCCCCCTCAACATTCGCGCCCACATCCGCGCTCGCGGAGCCGAGGGGCCGCCTCTTCTCTCCCTCCCGCGGCGGACGGGCGGCAGAGAGGGGTGAGGCTGCCGGCGCGGGGTCCGCCGGCGGGGGGCTGTCTGGCCGGAGTGGCATGTGGTGCGGGCCCGAAGGCAAGCAGTGGCGCAGTGCCCTGGCTTGCCGATGGGCCCACTGAAGAATGCTCTCAGCACTTGTTGTGGTCTGCGCGAGCTGTTCTTCGAACACGTTTGGCTGAGGCTGTCTTGTTTCGACACGCCTGGCGTATGTTCTAAGAACATGGTTTGTAGGATTCGAACAATTTTGGGGTTCTAAGAGCATCTCGTGGTAGGCTTATAGAACTGCTGGGGCGGTCGGTCCCCGATCGACAGCGGTGCTGGCCCAAATGGGGTCCCCCGATCGCCGGGCGCGATGCGGCGGTAGCGGCTTGCGCGCATGTGTGTGGTTCCCCCGCGGCCCCCGAGAAGCCGCGCACCAGAGGTCACTCTCACCCAGGGTCGCTCGCTGCGCGTAGCCGACCGCAGGATCAGCCATGTCCACATCCACGGCCACGGCGACCTGCACTCTTCGGCCGCGCGCACCCGTGGGTGCGGGGCGGCCCGGCGTGGACTCCACACGCGATGCGTACACATCCGTCCGCACCCACCTCATGTTCCTGAGCGTCCACCGCGCTTGCCTCCCCTTCCTCCCTCCTCTCTCTCCCCCCCTCTCTCCGCCCCAGAGGGAGCGGGAGAGAGGAGAGGGGGAGGAGAGGGGATGGAGGGAGGAGGGGTGGTGGGTCGAGGACGCGCAGGACGGGGTCGTGGGAGCACGACTGGCACCGTGGATGAATCAAAACTCTCTGGGAGGGGGGGAGGACATCGGGGAGGAGGGAGGACGGAGGAGGAGGGGCGCATGGAACTTTTGGGGCGCGCACGACGTGAGCACCCGCCGGGGCGCGAGGAGAGTATGGCTCCTGGCTGCGCGGGCCCGAGCCTTGCGCTTCTCCGTGGGGAGGGTCGCACGGGCACGCGGGCGTGGTCGCCCGCGGGGGCGCGCGAGGGCCCTCGCGGCTCGCGGCGCGGACACGAGAGCGTTTGCTCCTCGCCACGGGGGCCGCGCGAGGGCGAGGCGAGCGCGCCGAGCCTCGCGAACCTCGCGCGGCGCGGGGCACGACGCCCTTCCACGCGCGCAGTGCCCGCGGAGCGGGCGGCATCCCTCGGGCCGGACGAAAGGGGGGGGGATTGGGAAAGGGGGGGTTACGAAATCTGCTGCGTTCCTCGGTGCATGGCTTCCTCTGGCGCCGGGAGGCGCCGGGGAAAATCTGCTGCGTGAGCTGATTCTCAACCCCCCCTTTGGCTATCCCCCCCTTTCGCCCGACCCGGATACCCATGTCCACGGCCCGGCGGCCAGGCTGCCTCGGCCGCGGCCTCGTGGGTGCAGGGCGGTGCTCCGCAGATGCCCCGCGCGGCGCGCATCCATGGGCTCGGCGCATCCATGGGATCGTGCCGCGGTGTCCAGACCGCGATGGCACGGATATGGGTTCGCTGGCCGACTGCGAGGAGAAAGGCGCCAGTGGGAGCGGCCGTGGAAACAAGAGCAGCAGTGTGGGGGGCCGACAGTGGCACCGTTGACCTCAGCACAAGCTGCGGCGCGACGACGGACGGTGCCGGCTGCGACGACACGACGACGACGACGACGGCATCGTCGTCGTCGTCGTCCGGAGTCGTCGCCGCGTTGTCTTTTTTTGTCTGCCAGGCTGCAGATCTCGCAGAACGCGCAGCGCAGCGCGATCGAGGAGCCGTGGCCGCCCCCTCGCCGTCCCCCTCGGGGAGGGGGGAGGGGGGAGGGGACAGGAGCTCATGTTTGGAAACTTTTCCACCAGAAAGCCCGTTATCAGGGGTAGATCCCCCTGGTAACGTCACGAGTTGTGCCGTGCGGGAGTGGCGAGGAGTAGCTACAGTCAACACAACTAGTAGTAAACATGAGCGACTTCCCAAGATTGTCGTTGCATTCTTCCCATTTGGACCATCCTTGGCCACTCTCGCTGGCCGCGCCCCGCTCGAAAAGCGTCGACATGGCCTTCCAAGGCCCTTCCATCCTCACGATGCATTCTTATCACACGCGCTGACCGTGGTTCCCAGGCGGCGCCGGCAAGAACCACGGCGTTATCGGCCCCCTCCCCCCGATAATCGCCATGATGGCAGCGGGTCCGGAGGGAAACGAATCCTGAGGCTTGGCGCCGTCTTCGAGCCCTCGGGGCCCTCCACGGGCCCCAGGGAGCAACAGAACACTTGCTCAGGATGGAAACATCTCGTCCTGGGGGAAGGCCCTTGGGTCCAGGACCCGGTTCCCTCAAGATCCGTTGCCCCCATCCCACCGCCCGAATCTGTCCACCTCCGCTGGTTCGGAGTCGTGCCCCCGGAGATCTCTCGAGGAGTGGTGGACACGGACATCTGCCCGCCCGCATGGGCGGGCAGGGGGCCACATCCACCGCTCCCCGAGTCCCTGGGACACGACCCCGCGGCAGTGGATGCATGGACATATTCCTTGAACGGTGAGAAAAACCCACCCCAGCCCCCACCAGCAGTGGATTCTGTATGCCAGCGTTTTGCAACTCTGGCGCATGTGTGTGAGTGTAGGCACCATGTAAGCGAGGCCATTGCCAGCTGCCGCAGGGGGGGGAGGGCCCTCGCGCGCGGTCTAGCTGGTCTACAGTTCTTCATGTCGGGGGCCAGGGGGGGGGTTTGGGTATGCGTTCATTCCAGCGACGTACCCAGGCCAGGAGAATTTCCGCGCCTCGGTGGCCGGTGTTCCGTTTGGACGCCACCGCGCCGCGGCGGAGGGCCTCGGCGCGCCACCGGAGCTGCGGGCGCTCCTCGGCGGACGTGGGCGCGGCGCGCTTGGGAGGCGCTGCTCAGAGGAGGAAAAGGAACCCACACCTTTACCCTCCCGTTTCCCCTTTTCTGAGGCCTCCTGGAAGGCCTTCGTCGCCACCGATGGATTCGCTTCGAAATTCAGGTCAGAACGCACCCTGGGCGAGGTCCGGGGAGTATCGGCATCGGTACCTTTTGGCGTCCCCAGCTGCAGAAGCTGCAGACGCGCATCCTCGGGCACCGCGTCGGTCGGCGGCGAGCGGGGGGGGAGGACGTGAGACGGAGGAGGCCTTCTCGGACGGCGAGGGGGGACGTTTTCCGCGCCTTCGGGGGGAGGCGCAGAACACTCGTCCGAAGGCAGGGGGGGCCTCCGAGCCGTCTGCGAAGGTCGGAAGCCGGGCAAGGGCTGCTAAATCCGTGGCTGCTAAAATCGACCTCCGGGAAGTTGTCCTCGTCCTTCCGGGAAGAAGCCCGTTGACTGTTTCGCGTGCCGCGCCTCATTCGGGGAAGTCGTTTTTTCCTTCCGGGAGGGCCGTTTTAGCAGCCACGGACTTAACATGCCCTCGCCCAGCTTCCGAGAAGGCCTCCTCCTCCTCGCCTTTCCGCCCCCCCCAATTGACTCGCCGCCGAGTCGGGCCGGAGGGGCACGGCGCGCCTGGCGGAGGCCCTCTGGGCCCTCGAGGGGTCCTGCCGGGCCTGCAGGCGCTATCCCCCTCCGCGGGCAGCACTGCTCGGCACCTATATGGGCGCCCTCGGGCGGCGCATGCCCGCGGCGCGGAGGGCCGCGGGGCCGGCGCGGCCCCGAGGGGCTTGCGCGGTCGAGGCCTATAGTGAAGTCGGGCCTGGCCCTCTACAGGGGGGGAGCATTCAAAAATAATCCCAAAAGTAGTCTGGGGACTATTTTTGGGGCATTTGTCGACCATTTTGGAGCATTGTTTGCCGATTTTCTATTTTTCGACGACAATCCTCCTGCCAGCATTTTTCGACCACTTTGGGGCATTGTTGGCCGACTTTATATTTTTGCGACGACAATCCCCCCTGTAGGGGGACATTCCCAAATAGTCCCAAAAGTAGTACGGGGACTATTCTTTGAGCATTTCTTGACCATTTGGGGTGGGCGCCCACACCATCGAAAGCGCGCGCGCTCGCTTGTGCTGCGTTGTGCGCGGGCACAAATTTCGCGCCCGCGCCTGGCCCGCGCGCAGGCGGGCGAGCAGGGCGCGCGGGCCGCCTCCCGCTTTCCTGCGCATCGCGGCGCGCGGCCCCACGAAAAGGGCCCGCGCGCGCGAGGGGGGCGACAGCATGTGCTTCGCGGCGCGCGGCCCCACACGAAGGGCCCGCGCGCGCGCGAGGGGGGCGACGGCATGTGCCTCGCGGCGCGCGGCCCCACGCGAAGGGCCCGCGCGCGCGAGGGAGAAGCGACGTCATGCGCGTTGCTCGTTTGCTCTTCTGCTCGCTTCGCGTCGAACGCCCCGTGCAGGCACGCCGCGGGGATCGCGTCGGGGCGGATCGCGGCGCGCCTCGGGGTCGCGCGGTGTGCAGGCATTGGTGCGCATCTTGCAGGCAGCGTCCCGCCGTGGCGTGCGGCGCGCGCGCTTTCGCGTCCGTGGCTGCCCGTCGTGTCGTGGCTGCTTGTCTGGTCGTGTCTTGGCTGCTGTCGTGGCTCGTTGGTCGCCGCGTCGTGGCCGCTTGTCGTGGCTGCCTTCCTGGCTGCTCTGCCTCCTGTCGTGGTCGTCTGGCTGGTCGTGTCGCGGCTGTCTATTGGTGCGTCGTGGGTGTCGCGTCGTGGCTTCTCGCCGTCGTGTCGGGGCGGTCTGGCTTGTCGTTCGCCGCCGCGCGCGCGCGCCGGTCGCCGCTCTCTTCTCCCTGCGCAGGTTCCTTCCTCGCTCCCTCCTCCGCCAGGCGCAGGTACTTCCATCTTCGTCTTCGACAAGATCCCCTCGTCTGTTTTGCTGGCTCGATCGAGGTCAGGACTACCCTTTTCTAGCGTGGGCTGGCCCACGCTCTGGCTCCGCTCTCGCGCGGTCTCTCGGCTGGTGTCCTCGCGTGCTCGCTCGCCCGCGTGGCTTCTCGTCTGGCTTTTCTGGGGCCCACTTGGTTCCTTCGCTGGTGAAGGCCAATGCGGCTTGTCTTTTACGGGCGCATGTTGTCCGTCGGCCCCACGAGGCCATGCGGGGCCAATACGGCTGTCGCACTTCCAACGCTGGTACAGGCCAATGCGGCTCGCTATCGCACGGGCGCATATTGTCCGTCGGCCCCAAGTGGCCGTGCGGGGCCAATACGGCCCTCGCAGGTGATCCGGCGCAGGCCAATACGGCTTGTCATCATGCGGGCGCATGCTGTCCATCGGCCCCACGTGGCCATGCGGGGCCAATGCGGCTTTCGCACTTCCAACGCCGCTGCAGGCCAATACGGCTTGCTATCGCACGGGCGCATATCACCCGTCGGCCCCAAGTGGCCGCGCGGGGCCAATACGGCCCTCGCAGGAGCTCCGGCGCAGGCCAATACGGCTTGTCATTATACGGGCGCATATTGTCCGTTGGCCCTACGTGGCCACGCGGGGCCAATACGGCTTTCGCAGGTGCGAGGGCCCAGTCGGCCCAAGCGATTGGTTGCTCCTGAACCCAATCGGCTTACAACGCCGGCGCAGGCCAATACGGCTTGCTTTCGCACGGGCGCATATTGTCCGTCGGCCCCAAGTGGCCGTGCGGGGCCGCCCCAAGTGGCCGCGCGGGGCCAGTGCGGCCCTTGCTAGTGCGCGGGCCCACTCGGCCCCAGCTCTCGGCGGCTTTGGTGCAGGCCAAGACGGCTTGTCATTTTGCGGGCGCATATTGTCCGTCGGCCCAGAGTGGCCACGCGTGGCCAATACGGCCTGCGCCGCAGCGTGGGCGCTCCCTTCGCGTCGTCGCGTCACCTCTCCGTCAGCGTCAAGCGCAGCAACGGCTGAGTATTGTGCTGTGCGCGCACACGCAACGCGCCGCTTCGCGATGGCCGAAGGCGCGCCGGAGACCCTTGGCGCTTTTCTCGAGCGCGTCGAGGGGGCGGGCGCGCAGGGGGCCGCCTGGTTCGACTCGGTCGCAGCGGTGCTGGCAGCCGAGAGCATCGCTGTGCCCTCAGAGCTGGCCGGGGCCAAGTTTGAGGACTTCCGCTTCCAGGATGCCGATCTGGATGGCGGCCAGAAGCGCTGCGTCCGCGCGGCCATCAAGATGGCTGGGCGCGAGAAGGTCGGCGTTCCCGCGCAGCGCGAGCGGCGCGCGCGGGCACGCTCGCGCGCAGGGGGATACAAAGGACCAGCAGCAGGCGGCCGCGGGATCGGCCAGCGGGGGCGCCAGTGCCGCCCTCCTCGCGTTTCTCCAAAAGAAGGACGAGGCTCGCCGACGCGACAGCGCGCGCCCGCCGCCGCGTGACGTCGCGCCCGTCGCGTCGCAGGCGCCCGCGGCGGCCCGCGCGGGCATTTGCGCCACGCTCAAGACCGCGAGCCTCGAAGGCTTGCCCAGCGACCTCCTACCCAGGCGACGCGCGGCGCGCCACGGCGGGGCGCGCGCGCCATTTTGCGCGCGACGCTTGCGGCGTAGCTCGCACCTCGTTGATGAGCTTGCCAGCGAAGTGGCCAAGCTGCGGAAGCGCGGCATCGAAAAAGGCTTCGTCAACGTGAAGCTAGCCTGGTGGCTGCCGCAGCACCTCGCCGGGGCGCTCCGCGATGCCGACGAAGACGAAGCTAAACTTTCGGAGGGCCTGAAAAACTTGGCACAGGCGCGGCGCCTCATAGTCGCGTGCGCTCGCACCCCGCCGATCGTCTCGCGCGAGGCCATGGGGGCGAAGGCGTCGCCCCAGCGCGTAATGATGACGCTCGGCCAGTTCTACCTCGCGTGGAGTCGCTGCGCGGTCGGTGCCCACGCCACTGGCCAGCTGGGCCACGCCG